ATTCCTACATAGACATAAAAAGACTCGTTAATAGTAATGACGAAAAGATAAAGGAAATCACTATCGTTTATACGTGATAAAAAATCATGTTCATTTACCAGCCTCGTACCCAGGCGCAAATAACTAAAAATAGGCACACTACAGTGTTTTTGTATAGATCAGTGGCTCAAGCGCGCGGGGGTCCCCGCGCGCTCGCTCAACTTAGCCACTGATCTGTATAAAAGCACTATAGTGTGCCTATTTTTAGTTATTTGCGCCTGGGTACGAGGCTGTTTATTTACATAAAGTTTAGCTTTGCTTAGGCCTAGTTTATACGTCGAATTTCAGTCGAATTTAATGCGTCGAATTTCAGTCAAGTCATGATATCCGACGAAAATTCGACGTATAAATTGATTAAATCCGACGGGATGCATTAAATGCGACGCTGTCGAATTTTGCAACATGATCAGTCGTGTAATGCGACCAAAACGCGACACTGATTTATACGTCGAATTTCCGTCGCATTTAATAAAATGAATAAATTATTTAAATTAGATTGTTATCCACAACTGTACCCTAAAATCAATAACAACACACTTCGTGCAACACACTTCATGGATTCCACGAAGTATGATTTTCAACATGGCGGACAAACAACATCCATGTTCTAATTGCGAAAAATCCACTAAATATCGTTGTATTACATGTAAAACGTATGTTTGCAACCGTACATCATGTTCTACGGCTATAACAGACAAAGAAATTGAGGGATGGATTCCAAATGTAAGCGCTGCTTACTGCAACAATTACTGCGTTGAAATATCTTCCATATCAATGATTTTCTCTTTCAGGATGTATGTTCTTCCGTCAATGGAAAAAATAATAACTAGACAAATAATTCTGCCATAAATGTGTAACCGTTACTTCACAAATCTCAAAGACAATTTTATAAACTCTAAGAAGAAAAAACTGACAGAAAAAAAAGAAACTGGCAAAAACAGAAACAAAAAAAGAAACTGGCCTGGCAACTCTGTTTTAATTTTTTTCTCTAAGGGACCGGTCATTATTTATGCATTATTTATGGTGGGGGGTGGCACCGAAGAGAAATGTTTTTCATGGCAAAATTTTGCTGACCCAACCATTAAAAAGTAAAAAATTTGATTACCCAACCTCAAATATCAATTAAAAAATAAATACTCACCCCTGGCCAAAAACTTTACAAAAAGGTACCATTCAGTTGTCACACATGTCCCTTGCCACTTCTGTGACATGAGTTTGATAACGGATTGTGAATTTTTTTGCAGACTAAAGTTTCATGTTGTCTGCAAATGTACTTTCTTTGGAGACACCATTTGTCTCCCAACAAATTGAAAAACAGTGATCAAGATAGTGACTCCGATTGATTCACATATTGTATTGACATATGACTGTTGACATTGCTTTTTAGTCTCCAATATTTCAGTGAGTCATGCTTTGGAAATTATTATTACCCAACCCTTGAGTTGTTTTGTTTTTCATTTACCCAACCTTTTACTCACTCAAAATTTTGTTTACCCAACCCTTTTTTCTTCGGTGCCACCCCCTGCCATAAATAATGACCGGTCCCTAACTGGTTTCCAGCTTGAAATGTAAGCGTTGTATACAACTAATACAAGACGTGATAATCTGTATTTCGCCGTTGTAAAACAGAGCTACGGCGACGTCTAAAACGTCCGTGAAATTTCAATTATTAATTTCCGCTCTTTTTCTTGCATTAATATGATGTTGTTGGCCCTTTCGCTCTGCTTTGTCGAAGTTCTTAATAACGGTGGTTCTTTATAATTATAAAGTGTAAAATTTAAGGCGGTTTCTTGACACGTCCCCGTACTAGATTAAAGGTGATCTACAATCCGATCTGCGCATGTGCACAAATGAGCCCACTTTTTATGATACAAACAGTTTAACTATGTTTTGAGTTCTTGAAAAGCCTGATTGTTGTTTCTTGATCATTTATTATACTCTAGAAGCTTGAAAATATAAATAGTTGTCGAATAAAGCTCAATATTTTGGACACAAAAATGTAAACAAAGGCTTTGTTTACATACGCATAACTTTTTATCGCATATATTCATTTTAAAAATAACATTAAATCCACAATAAAAGACTATGGAAGTTTATTATTTAATATTTCATAAACGAAGATACATAAAAGTTGATTTGACTAAAATGTTTACACTTAAGACAAACCATTCTAAGTTTGACCTTTTTAAAGCCTGTTTATACTAAAAATAACATTGAAGAATATAAATACAGTATTTTTAATACAAGGCATACAAGTACGGAGATTTTTCGTTCTCTGTGGAACTGAATCGACTACCTCCATCTAAATTACGTTTAAAAGCTATAAAATGATATCAAGTATAATAATAATATAATAAATAAGAAAAATCAGTAAGCCTTGTAGTAAGTAAGCCATCAGTAGTGGCCCCCAGAGTTGTTTTCATAAGCAGGAGAGTGGGCGTGCATGTTACCCATGGGATACATTGAGGATTGATTGGACGAGACAACAACTGTGCCACCGGTATGAACTGGAACTCCAGCGGTTACCACCACAATCGGGTCCTAGAAAATCACGTGATAAGAAGTAAAGCAAGTCATGCCCAGAACCTAACCGGCGAGCGGGCATACACTCTGGGCACAGAGTAATTACATACAGAGGTCTCACTTCTGCCATTCGCGCCGGCGTGTAATATCCTCTATACATACAGTGCTGCACTGTACAATTCACACTATATTAAATGTACATCTTTGTTTGTGATTCCTTTTGTGTGCAGCTATAAAACTTTGTACAGCAAGGACAGAGAGCAGGAAAAAAGTTCGTTGTTATGTATTAATATTCAAAGCACCAACAGCAATCTTTTATCAGATTATAACACGAGGCGATTCCCAAGTCTCCCCTGGATTTGGTTTACCAGAATTGCAGTCCCCCTTTTTTTTCATCCGGAAAAATCTCAGGCCCCCCCCATTTCTCACCCATTCCCACCTCCCATAAATAATGAACGGTCCCTAACTGTTAATCATAGCACATAAAGTATAAACTTACAACAGGGGCGCAGCAAGTACCCCGACAGCCGAAGATTGATGCAGTGAAGGAAGTCACAGCGAGGATAATATACGCAACCAGCGCTGCTACGAAGAGCGAATAGACTGGGTCAATGTCACTGCATTTCATTTTCCCTAAAAGAAAATGTTGTGACACAAATTATGCAAAGAAACCTGCACACAAGCAGACAAACTTGCAGCCTGATCGCAGGTTAATAAAAAACAACCTTTACTTACATTCCACATAACTAGTACGATCATTATTATTATGATAGCATATGCACCGATTATTTATTTCGATGCAGCTTCTCTGGTAATCACCCTGGAATTCCTTCATGATAGCAGTGATTAAGATCAAAAAGACCGAAGCAACACTAGCAATGATCACAGCAATGATGTTGAAAAACAAAGCAAAACCCATCTAGAATGAAAGAATTAGGAGATTTTTTTGTATGTTACGTAACACGCTCAAAACTAATGCTTATACCACTTGAGGTTATGACTAAATTCAAAATTTTTATTTTTCGATACGTTTCTCAATCGGCAAACAAACTTAAAAAGTATGTTTAGTGCTTTATCTGTAAAATAAGGCTAATATGAAGAGATTTTAGATGGTAAGCCAAAAAGAAAATGATGTCTGAAGTTCAGTATCATTGATAATTGTCAATTTTAATTAATTATAACACACGTACCGGGACTACCGGCTTTCTTCAGTGTTTCCTCAATTTTTTCTCTAAATTTGCCCAATTTTGATATATAAACTTCAAAATTTGGAATCTTGTTCGTTTTTTTTGGGAAGGCTTAGCCCCCACTTTTTTTTTGGGGGGGGGGACTATTTAACAATTAGTCGCCGAAGGCGAGGTGATTACAAGCCTATATTCACTGAGCCGAAGGCGAAGTGAATATAGGCTTGTAATCACCGAGCCTGAGGCGACTAATTGTTTTAGTATAAATTTCCAGGTGGTTACAAACAATAATCCACACAACTTTATAAAAATTCACTTCAAATAAATTTATTTTCACTATAAATAGTTTGTTTACAAAATTTAAATCTCAGACACGGCTCTGTGTCGCGTTGCGACTAAGCCAGTTTTTTTCCAAATAAAAGCACGTAAAGTTTAATATTTTACCTTGAAATATTTTTAAACCATATTTTGTAGCTTGTTTGGGTTTTTTTCGGAATGCTATCTTCTTTAATTTTGGCAATTTCCTCTTCTGTTACTACGGCAAAACGAGCAGCCATTTTGAAAAAAAAGCTATAGTCACTGACCAGTGACTATCACTTCAGAGACAGTGAATCTTGACCAATCAGAATGCAGAAAAATCAATAGTCACCTGGAAATTTATACTAAAGCCCCTTAGATCGCTACTGTTCCTGTCGAAAAGACTAAAGGTTACTTCATAGCTAGCGGTATTTACGGTTATTCCCTGACTCAGGAGGTTTATTTTCCATTTGTGCAGAGGAAGATAAATCGCTAGAACTCGAACAATTTAGAAACACAAGTGTCTCCTATGATTTCAGCTTTGTTCCAAATGTTACCATTGCAAAATATGCCTTGATCCCTAGAAACCCGGGAACCCTCATTCAGTTTTTGAACCCAGTATTTGTGAATCTAAGACAACTATCCCTTACCGCAATGCCATTTTTGGTCGCACCTGCCGCAATACAGAGTATTCCTGGCACAACATACTAGAAAAAAAAAGAAATCATGTTACATTAAAAAACAGCGCATACAACCTGGCAAAAATTATTGTGGACAGCGCGCGCGGAAATGGAAATACTGTTCTGTTCTGTTCTGCAATATAATTTAATTTATAAATTTATGCGCGTAGTGACGGTAGCGTATTGTAGATGTGGTTACATTGTCCTCTATAAAACGTATGTAATGTATATTTCCCACATTATAACCTCATACTGTGTATCTATAAGTGAAAAGACATAGGCAAAATCTTATATTATCTAGTATTTTTTTATGTAATAAATAGAAAAAACCCAAATCCACCCAAGTCGAAAGTCGAAATTTTACAAATACCACGCGTACATGATCTATAAAAATAAGGGAATACTATTGGATAAGGTTTTGTGTGACGTAATTTCGTGCGTCTGTCCTCTAGGACTATAGAGTCTGGAACACACTGCCAAGAGATTTAACGATTAATGAGTTTAGAGAGAAGTTATATAACTATTATAAAACAGCATTAGATGTTATGACCTTGACGATCCACGAACATGGAAATCGGTTTGCATAAAGTGCAACCATGATAAAGACCTGACTATAGGCCGATAACGTGCTGTTTTTTGCTGTTTTTAGATTCTAGTTTTCAAAAGTACCTTTCGGCATTGGTATCCATGGGGCCTATTCAGGGTTTTGCCTGCCTCGTCCCCAGCTGGCGCTAATAAAAAATTTCATGCGAGTCACCATATGAAAGGTTTACATGAAGTAATGCGTTGCGACGAACAAGCGCAGGGGTTTATGGGCCTTTGCGCGCCTATAATGTGATACACTACTTCATGTAAACCTTTCATATAGTGACTCGCATGAAATTTTTTATTAGCGCTTGGGGATGAGGCAGGGGTTTTGCTGAAGGTTTAGGATTGTGAGGGACTCAGTGTTTCCACTTTCAAGGAAATTTCCTTTTTCAAGGAAATTTTGACCGAAAAAAGACGTTTCAAGGAAAAAAAAGGAATCAAGGAAATCTAAGGAATTTTTGAAAATTCTAAGGAAATTTAAGGAATTTTTGAGTCAACTGAAATGTTTTGAAGATTCTTTCAGGAACCTTTCATTAATTTTAAATTATATTACTTTCCTTCGCTCATAACCAATATGTCCGCGTGCAAAAATAAAAAAAACCTCTTTCGGAGCCTGTGACCGAGTCAGTAGAATCTAGAATTATTAATTAAACTAATTATAAGTAGGCTGCACACAACCTGAATTTTAGGCGGAAATCAGGTAGCGTGCTGCGTGCAGGCGAATTTATATGAATTTATTTGTCATGTGAATTTGTTGACTATTGAGAACAATATTAAAACTCTAGTTTTACATTTTATAGCTTTCAAAATTGTTGTGTAAAGGCTTTGTTTTTAAGAGTTGTACGAAATAAATGTACCATTCTGTTTCTGTCTTACTTTATATAAGTATTGATGAATTCTAGTTGCCGAAATATACTTCGGTTAATCAAGGAAATTTCAAGGAAATTACATCCCATTTCAAGGAAATTGTAAAGCAAAATCAAGGAAATTTGAATGATGCGTTGTGGAAACACCGGTGAGGGTTTCATATGTCATGTGAGTGAGTAAGCTTCCAAAAATGGAAGTGGTCCTGTGGGTCGCAATGTCAAAAGTACAGTATAGGGGGACAACCAGTAGGGCCGCTTATAGGGGAGAGAAAAGTGGGAATCATTCAAGGGTGGGTTGACTACAAAATTTCTGTAGTTCGCTAAAAATATGTAGTCAGCTACAACTACTGCTACTTTTGAACAAAGGTAGTTCGCTACTGACTGCAGCTACTGCTTAAAAAATGTAGCCAACTATTTCGCTACGCCATATTTTTTAGTTATAAGTGTTGTTTTATGCTATTTTTGGCATTTTCAAAAAACAGCAGTTCAACGAATGAATTCTGAATGCATTATCGCTTTTATAGCTTAATACCTATTCTATGCTTTTACGTTACATGAAATCAAATAGTGTCCAGGTTTTTTGGGGGACACCCGGTATTTTAAGGTAGATTTGCATTTCGCAACTCGACATTTTGCGACCGCTTTCCGTTTTGAAATGTGCGCAGTCTAATGAGATCGTTCCATATAATAATGAAGCCGTGAATAGTTGTAAGAACCATATAATGTGAAAGTGCGTATTTCCACCGAAAGTGCATATTTCCACCGTTGAGAATTGGGTCAAAAACTATTGAAAATTGACTCCCTTCACACTTTAGGACTTAAGTTGATGAATTGAACTTCAATAAAATACCTGCGTATGCATAATTATCATAAACGTCTTGTAAACCAGCCCTGAGCTCATTTTTAAAATGACACGTTCGTGATTAATTGCTAATCAAAATCTAAGTTAGTCCATTATGAATGCAATGATCTTTATTTCATTGCGAATCTGCGATAGCTTTTATAGCTTTTACGTTACATGAAATCAAACAGAGTCCGGTGTTTTTCGGGACACCCGTATACAATTTGATAATTAATCAATTTTAAGATTGACCTTTACGGCAGAAGAGGTCGATCTTTATTCCTTTATTAGCTATTAAAAAGTAGCTAAATCATAGTGCACAAGTTGCTCACTTGCTCTAACTTCGAACAGCTAACAGTTGACTT